GAAATGTCTAACATGCTTGACTTGCCAAGTATAGGGGCTAAACCCCTACTTTTGTTATAGGAAAAGAAGAAAAGAAAAGGTGGAAGAAGAAGATTTGTAAGAAGAAAATGTGTTGATTAGACAAAATTTTAAGTTCTTCCCTTGCTTATTGGTTCAGGTTTTGAAATCTTTGAGGATTCAATCAAGAATCAAAACTTCGATACAATACACCCCGTATTGAGTGTAATGTATTGTATCTTTGGCGCCCCAATACACATGTTTACAGGTGTTTTCGGAAACCCATTTTTTAAAATAATATATATCTATATATATATATAAATGAAATTGAAAACCAAAGAAATAAAAAAATAAGAGTATCATTATAAGTACTGATACACCTCTGCCGATACACAGAGGTTTATCGATACTTTAACCAATGGGTTCAATACAGCAGTTAGCAATGTTTGTGTTGATTAAACCCTAACAAATAAGAAAATAATAAAAAGAAATTAGTACATAAACACATAAAATGAGTATTCTAGTTTAATAATGCCTATTTTATAATTATAATGTCAAAAAATTAAAAACATAAAAGTATTTTATAACATAGTGCACAAAACTACTTGGCGACTGGGTGAGGCAAGCCTCCAAGGGCGCCTTGTCGCCTAGGCGTCACCTTGACAACTATGCTCCATTTACTCATGGAAGACACAATTCTTGGGCATCCACCTTTTCACCAATGAAATGCCGATCAATGTCAATGTGTTTGGTTTGATTGTGCTAAAATTATATGCAATTTTAATTGCTGCCTTATTGTCATAATATAATCTTATTGGCTGGTCAACACCAACTGCCAAATCGATTAATACAGGCTTCACCCACATTTTTTCTGAAATAACATGAAAAATAGAATGTAAGACATTTTCAGAAGCCTGACTTGGCAATAAGAAAAAAACAAGGACTCACAGACACATCTGTAGAAAAGTGTAAACTATTAAAATAGTCCATATTTCCTTTTAAGATTCTAAAACTATATACCTATAAAAAAGGTCCAGAAATTTATCTTTGTTATTTGATAATGATTTGTAGGAATTGAGTCCATACAACACTTACACCACTACACCTGGAAAAAGTTACTTCAATGTTAAGAAGATTATCTGAAAGTAATCAAAAGATCAGTTGGTTAAAATTTATTTCATAATGGTGATTTTTGGTGTAAGCTTAGGTAGAACTGGTTTTGTGCTTTTGGTTTGTCCTGATCTTCCAAAAAAATAAAACACATGGCAATTTTTGAGGTTCCTGACTGCTGCATGCTTTCTGCTTTCCAAGGGTGAAAATGCTACTTTTTAAAGTGTTCCTTGAATAGTTGAATTGTAGAAAGGTTTGTTATGATATTGAAAACATACAACTATGAGCATGTTTCCATTTCTTCTTTCATTAGTCACTCCTATTATTTTTGGAGTCTAATTATTATCCAGCAGTACACAACATTCACAGAATGCATCAGACTTTTTGCCAAGATATTTTAGATTTTTTTCTATATTACTTATCTATTTTGCATGCATTTCAAGGACATGCACATGGTCACATTAAAATATCTGAAATTGTAAGTAATTGTTATGGTTTCTCTTATAAAGGCTTATTAGCCCTACTCAATAATACATTATTCCTTAAATGACTTTTTTCCTCATAGAAATTTTGATACAAGTGTCTGGTCTGAAAGTGTATGTATATGTTTTCCAATGAAGGTATCACTTATGAAGAGGCTCCGACATCCAAATGTACTACTTTTCATGGGTGCAGTAACTTCACCTCAGCGTCTTTGCATTGTTACAGAGTTCCTCCCACGGTTCATTCTTCACTTCTCCTTCTGAAAGCTTCAATATTTGGAGAAATCTGAATCATGTTCATATTTTCTACTTGTATAACATATTAATATCATCTACTGTTCTGAATCTGCCATGATAACATAGTTATCAGGGCAACACCTAGGTGACTAGGCACCCTTGGAGGGTTGCCTTGCCCAAGCACCTAAATATTTTTGTATAAGGCACTACTTAGTATTTTTTATATTTTATTTTACGATATTGTAATATTACAATGATTATTATTACACTAAATTATTCATTTTCTAGGTTTATAGTATTTTTATAATTCTTATACTAGTTATCTTTTATTATTTTCTTATTTGTTTGGTTTGAACTAACACACATGATTATGTAGTTTTGAGCCCTTTAAGATTTCAAAACCTGAACTAATAAGTATAGAAGCACTTGAAGTTTTTTTTTTTTTGATAAATGAAGCACTTGAATTATTATTATTTTTATTCCTCTTCCTCCTGATAAAAACAAGGGCTGAGCCCCTATATTTTCTATGTTTTCTTTTCCTTCTTTTCTTCTCATATATATGTTGATTTTGTATGTTTTTATATGATGTTTATACTTATTTCATGAAGATCATGGTAATTCTTAATCAAAGATTATTACTAATTACTATAAGACCTAGGGAACTACCCAAGGATTTATATATTTTTCTTATAAAAATTTATTGCCTAGCTGGGCACCCCCTTGTTGCCTAGGTTTGCCTTGGCCCCTTGAAAACTATGCACAATAACTGTTTTATTAGATTTGGTTGATTTGTAATTACTTTAAATTGTGGTATTTTTTGTGCTTATGTTGCCTTTTTAATGCAGTGGAAGTTTGTTTCGGTTGCTTCAACGAAACACATCTAAATTGGATTGGAGACGGCGAGTTCACATGGCCTTGGATATTGTGAGTTTTACCATTACTCTTTTATAAGAATAAGATATTGTATTAATGATGAAGAGCAAGGTTTAAGGCCCATTTACAAAAGGTTGCATGGTATGGATCTATATAGTGTACAATCAATATATCACAGCCTCACAGGTTGAGTAAAAAGTGATTTCATGCCAATTATTATCACTATCACATTTTCAAAAACTTTTCTTTCAAAAGAAATCAAAAATTAAAGCTTAATATAAAAGCACTACGAAAGAAATGAAACAGGTGTTTTAGTCTTCCATATTAATTGATATGCTGCTTTACTTCCACATGTTCTCTTGTTTCTCACCTTCCAAATGCTCTAACAAATGGAAAAGGGAGCTATGTTTCATAGAATACTATCTCATTCATTTAAGCCCTTCATTTGCTATGGTTGGATGAGAGTGGGTATGTTACCTCTATTGATGAAACAACCCTATAAAATCGGTCCAGACGAGCAATTGTAGATGGAGAATGAACTTCTCCCTATTGATCAAAAAAGATAATGAATTCCTCCCATTTGCCACATAACACGTTCTACAAACTTCATTGCCTCAAGTTCTAGTGCTCACTGGTGAATATGTTAATGAGGCTTTCTTCCGACCATCAAAACAGTTAAACAGAGGGAGGGTCCTGTGGAAATTTTCTAGAGCAGCAGTAATGTGAGCAATATGGGAAGAAAGGAATATAGCGCTACGGGTGATCCATTGGGTATAGACATTCCTACTTTTTCCCCTTTTACAAATTACAATAGAAGATTCTGTAAGAGGCCTTACATAGCAACCCGAATATCAGCAAGAATAACAGTCACTTGTCATGGACAGCTCCAAGCAGCCAACATATAAAACTGAACGTTGATGGAAATAATATGGAAAATCCAGGGAGATCGGACGTTGCTGGTGTGTTTACAGATAGTAATGGTGTAATTGTGGCTTTATATTCAGGGCTAATAGGACAAGGAGATTCATTATGGGCTGAATTACTTGTGGTGCACCGAGGACTTAAACTGGGAAATCTGTTAATTATGAGAAACATTATAGTAGGAGACTCCCATATCTTAATAAGAATCTTAGTGAACAATATAGCTTGTTGAATTGGTAATACAATTGTGTGCTGGGAGAAGTGAGGAAGTTGGCATGGGAATTGTTAATTCAGTTTCAATGGAGAAGGGAAGCAAACAGTTAGGCTGATTATCTAGCCATACAAGGAGTAGACAGAGATGAACTGTTTTGGGTGTCAGTAAATACATAATAAGATAGATGAGAAAGGGTGTAAAAGGGCATGGTAGTTGGAACTACCTGTGGGGATGTGGTGCCTTTTCTACTCTTTAAATTAATACAATGTACAGTTTACAATCAAAAAAAAAAAAATCTTAATGAGGCTTTCAACATTAAGAAAACTTTTGATGGGATATATGGCATAATTTATCCATCATGATGATCCAGATAAATGGGTTTAGGAGATTTACGAACAGAATGGCTGACAGTTTAGCTAAGCAAGGGGTTCATAGAAAAACTATGTTTTAGGCTTATTTGTAATACATGGGATGGTGTAGCTCCCTTGGGTTTGTTGTTTGTTTTCAGAACTTCTTGTTGTACTTATTTATCAAAAAAAACGAAAGAACTTGTTGTACTTCTCTTTTCTAATATTAATGAAATAATCTTTGTGTTGCTGATAAAAAAATGGCACAATTTATCCACCCTGCCCCACAAGAAATAAAATAGAATAAAATAAAAATGATTTAGATTTGAGATTGAGGTACCAAATTCAGTGCCATGTGATTTGTTTCCCTCTGAGGGATCTCTAGAAAGTTTCTGACCCTCCAATATTAAGTTGTTTGATTGCAAGTGGGCCACAAGTAGGGATGCTCATCAAAAACCCAAAAAAAAAAACCGAACTGATGAAACCAAACCAAAAATTCTGGTTAACTGAACTGACCAGTATATATTTATGTATATTATATATATTTCATATATTTATAATATACAATATATTATTTATCATATAATATATTATATATTTCTAGTATTTATATTATATATTTATTTATAATATATATTATAAATATCAAAAAACTGAAGAACTGAACCAGTTGAAAACTAAATCGATTAACCGGTTAACCAACTGATTTCGGTTCGGTTTCAGTTCACAGTTTTCCAAAAACCGGTGGTACCAGTTCGGTTTGGAAAATAGGCCCTATGAGCACCCCTAGCCACAAGAAGACCAATACCTGTGACATGCTCCAGATGATAGGAGATAGGGAAGAGGGATGTATTGGTGTTTTCCCCAATGTGTGCACTCACTGTGTTTGGATAATATGAAGTCAATTAACTATTTTTTATTCACTGTCACTTCACTGCATCAATTTAGTATTCTTCCCTGGTCTCTTTTAAGCTTGTTGATCCTAACTTGAGGGTATTGTTGATATATTGATTATCATTGGATGGTTAGAGATGATTGCCCAAGACTATAGGGATTCAGTTACCTATTCTTGGCATCCAAGCTGTACTGCAAGCTGTGCTGACTTCTGAGATTAGAACTTTGTCACAGATATTTCTAAGGGAGGGGGGATGATGAAAGGCTTGTAAATGGAATTTTTCTTGCTGGCTTGGGAACCTCTTCTTTCAATACCAGCTTCAGTGTTCCTTGGAGCTATGGTCACTTTGTTCTTCTTTCTCACTGTTAGAAGTTATTAGAATCTTTTATATGTATTGGCAGCAGGGTATAGGGGTCTTTTTTCACTTTCTTTCATTATATTAATTAAATAGAGGTAATTATGTAATTATATATATCATTATAATATTAATAAAAGAATGGCGGCAGTTAGAGAACAAAGTTTTGTTCGACCTCTCCTACTTTCTGTCCTAGTTCTCTCAATCTTTATTCTCTCTTCTTCTTCTACTTTATTCTTCACCAACCCAGATTTATTCCAGAATATATTCGTTTGTATGTTCTTATATTTTAGTACTGTTTTAGGCTGATCACATGGTATCAGAGCATCTGTAGTCACCCAACACTTTTTCCAAGCTTTTCACGTCCAATGCATAACAAATTCTTGTCTCCACTATTAGGTGACTAAGACTTAAAAAGGGATTAAAAAGGACCCTTGCATCCCCTGATCGGAAGAGGGTGATGGATGAAAATTTTCATGCTCTTGAATCCAACCACACCTTGGAGCTCACCTCTTTGCCTCCTGGAAAACAGGCAGTAGGGTGCAAATGGGTTTACACCGTTAAACATTGCCTTGATGGTTGCAAAGGAGTACACCCAGACATATGGGATTGGTTATAATCAAACTTTTTCAGCTTTTTTAAGAATGCTTTCCTTAATGGTAAGCTTCAAGAAGAGGTGTATATGAAGTGACGGTTAGCAACCTCATGGGTATGTTGTTCAGGGGGGGAGGTAGGAAAAGGCATGTGCTTGGTGTGCCTAGGCGTTCGCCTTGTGCTTCATCCCAAGCATGCACCTTTTCAAAATTTTTGCATTTTACTCTTTTTAAGCCTAGCAGCTGTCCCCAACCAAGCCCGTCGAGGCAAGCCTAAACAAGTCCATGTTGGCGTCTTAAATTCTTAGTCCCTATAAAAAATGATTTTATAATTTTAGTTGTCTTTTAAAATTATCTTTTATTAGGATGAGTGAATGAACATTAGCAAATAGGGGGTTCTCAGAGAGTGCAATGTAAGCTTGTTGTTTTAGCTTCTCCCGGCTTATGACTCTGTTCTGATCAAACTTTAATACTTACATAAAAAAGGAAAGAAAATATGGTGCTCATTACAGTTGATGCATTTAATCAGGGAGCCTTGCTTCTCACTTTGGCTTAAAATTTTTTTCTTCAGAAGCTAAAATCTGGTAATGCTCCCACTATCTTGCTAGGAATAGGGTTTCTAGGAGGTTATGTGTAGCCTTTTGACATTGCAGTGTCACTACTGGGAGTCTGGAACTGGCTCCCTCCTTTCCCCCCGTCTGTAATAAGTTCATCATTCATTGCCAAGTGAAAAATAAATAAATAAACTGAGGTGGAGATGGAGAGGATTACGGGGGAAGGAGGGAGGTAACAGTAAGGGGAGGAAGGTTGGAGAGGAAAGATCTGAGGTGGGACTAGAGGAGAGGAAGGAAAGGCAGGTGGACAGAGATGAAGGGTAGGGGTGGTGGAATCGGTGAGAGAAGACACGATAGCAGAATTTGTAGGGAAGTTGGGCTGTAGACTGGAAGATTTGAATGAGTTGAAAGAAAGTTT